ACTCCTCTGGCTGCAATTGCTTGTGCACAACAGCTTTTTCCCTTCTTAAGTGTATTATCCCAGAGGCACTACCACAGTGGCTGATGGGCTTGGCCGTGGCCAGTGGCAGGTCCATCTTGGAGCTGGCTGGCATCGGCTCTGTTGGACAAGGCAGCTTTTCACAAAAGCCACCCTATAGCCTCCTCGCTACCTTGCCATGCAATCCAAATACACCCACAAAACTAACATATAAATAATTTGCCTAGGAAATCAGTATATCAGATACTAAAAGTAAAATTGGGACAGGGTCTCTTATTTCAAGTGAGCAGCTGGTAATTCCTTAGATGATAACTTTCAAGATCATGATGGAAGATGTATGATTAAACAAGCATTTTGCATCCTCTTGGATGCACCTTAGTGCTTCATGGTCTTTTTTTTTCTCCACATTCTGCTTTTAAGAGCCTACACATATCTTTTCTCCTTCATCCTGTAAAAAGTTTATAGTTCCATAAAGGTATACATGTATAAAAGTAAGTTAATAAGCTTAAGTATACTTTCCATTTTTGTGTGAATGCTTAAACTGGCTGACAGTTGAAAAGCAGTGCACAGAAACTGATGGTTCAAAATGATCTGAACTATCTGTATGCTGTAGTTATACTCCTTATTTGCTTATAATACTGCACTCATGCAAAAAGACTGCATTAAACAGCATGGGAAAAATACACAGGACAAGGAGATTTGCATATAGATCTCACTGTTGTTTGAGGAAGCAGTACTTACATTTATTTTCACTCATGAACTACTTTTCAGTTTTAATTTTGTAATGAGTTTCTTGCTGATTTAGGGAGGAAAAAATTGAATGTATAATATACGAAAAGTGATCCAAGGCAATGTATAATATACAAAAAGTGATGCAAGGCAGCAGTAAGTCAAAGGAGACAGCTGATAAGTCCTGATGAAATTGGTGAGACTCTTCGTACTGACTTTGAGGAGCCTCAGAATAGCTCTAAGCCATGCTTTGGGTGGATGAGAAAGGGCTCACATTTGTCAGGTAAAAAAATTTTCAGATCAACATTCTCATTTTATAATACATGTATTACAAATATTGATAGTTAGGCTTTGTTACTTGCAGTTAAAGGAATTTCCATCTTGTATTTTCTTTTAAAAACTAGTTTTCCAAAAGATGGAAATGCCCTGAATTCACAGTCTTACTTTTTAAAATATCTAGGTGGGCAGTTATCTACAGCAAAAAGAAGTTCCCTGCGAAATAAAGGAGCCATCTCCTTTTTCTCCTTTTTGAAATGCTAAAGGCCACTAAAAAAATGAAGAAATATGCCATTTTCTATTCCAGTGCTTTTACTTCCATTATAGATTTTATCGTGTCTTGTACTACTTTCTTCAAATTAAATTGTTCCTGGAAGAGGTCATTATAAAGACTAGTGGTTTTGCCATGTTTTAAAAGAAACTTACCATGGTTCAGTTCTTGGTTTAGATGTAATTGATTTATTTGTTTCTTAAGCTGCCTTTTTTCCCCAGATTTCAGTTTTTTACTTTATCAAAAGGAGAAAGTAAGCCCAATTTAAAAAGATGAATACTGCTCTTTTAACACATCCTAGCAAGATTTTGTTGGTGTAGGGCCAGTGAAGAAATGTAGAAAATAAGAGTCCAAAGTAACACATACTGGAAGTTCAGCATGCCCAGCTGAAGAAAGCTGAAGAAAAAGATGCATCTAGAAGAGAAACTAAATTATTTCCTGTCAGGTTTGAAATCTGAGCTTGATCGCTGCTCACTTACCCCTCCCTGATGTTTTAGTGTCTGACAACCAGAAATGGAAAACGAACTTTTTTTTTAATATTGGTTGGGGTGTTGCTAATTACAGCTGTGGCTATGTCCTCTTCTGGTGGTGACTGCGCAAGACAGTATGGAAGATGAGCAAAATGAGAGATCAGAATTAGGATAATGGCTATGGCCCACTTGAGAGATCTGTGGAGCTTATCCCAAGAAGAAAGACTGTCTTTTGCATGGTAGCTGCAGGTATCACTCCCTTATGTGTCCAGGGAGCAGGGAGGGGGCAGAGCAGCCTGGAACCTGATGCCCCCAGCACTTGCTCCTGCTGCACTATTGCTTTTGGGCCTTCTCTGTAGCCCCAGCACCAAGGAACAGCTCTGTTGGCTCAGCACTTGAGAGCCTTGCAGAGAAAGTGGTGTTGGGCAACACAGTCTCTGTCTCTGTCAAGTGAAGCATGAAAGGGTGTGCTTAGGTCTGTACATAAATCACACCTTGGGCTGTTAGGTTGAGGGCTGAAATCCCGAGTTTCAAATGAGGAATTTAAGTCATGGCAAAACCATACACACACCCGATCACGTAAAGCCACCTAATAATCAGAGCTTTTTTCCTCTGCTTTAGAAAGTAGTCACTCATATGACTCCAGGAGGTTCCCTTTTTTCTTATTTTTCGCATTTGATCAGAAAATAATCTTTGAGAATCATGAACATCACACAATGCTATACACTTGTAAATAAGTTATGAAGATCCCCTTACCATGTAGAGCATGTTGCTGGCTGGTGGATTCACTCCAGAGCGGTAACTGTTATGGGTTTGCACACATTCCTCAATAAACTTTGGATCTTCAATATCAGGCAATGTCGATGGTTCATAGGAGTCAGAGAAATGAGAGAAGAGCAGGAAAGCCAGCACACAAGCAGAAAATCTGCTTGTCATTGAGAGAAAGGCCGAAGATAGATGGTGCAATCAGTAAGTCACTGCCGTGCATCCAGCACCAGCCTCTCTGCCCCGGCCTTCCAAGTGGCGGCAAAGAACCAGCCCCTCCTCTCCCTAAGTATCTTTTATGCCGTCCCTCATTAGCATGGGAAGGGGAGGGTAGGCGTGGTTTTAGTGTCTTAGTAGCGCGAGTTGTGAGGGTAGCTGCGGTTTGGGTGGTGCGCACTCTCGGGTCCTAATTCCGGGGTCTGCTGTGGGAGTCGTACGAGGCAAGTACCCCCTGAACCAAGTGTTCTGTTCGTGACCCCACTCCCTGTGCTTGTGCTGTCGTTCACTTCGCGGTATAACACACTTAAGTGGAACGCTGCGGTGAGGAGTATCAGTGTCGAGCCTGCCCCCGCAGGGCCAGAGCTGAGGCTTGGTTCCTTTTTGCGGTTTGTGCGCGGCGCCCGTGAAGTTTCCTGCAAGATACGCCACTGAGCGCTTATTTAAGGCATATATGATCACTGCTAATGCGATTAACCCTTTCCTTATAGCCACGCGTCTCAGCATCTGGTCTTTTTAGCTTAAAAGGCAGAGTGTTGCAGCTGTACGAGGTGGTTTTAGCTCCATTAGCAGCGTTTTGCTTTGGAAGGCTCGTGGGCTGGACTTATCTTAGGCATGGTAATTGAATATGGCATTAGTCACGGGAAACGAATCATTTCAAGAACGTTGCTAGGAGAATAAGGAAACTAAAAGTTCACATCAAAGCTCAGAGGCAGCCGTGCCTCTTACTTGTTTTCTTCCACCTTTAATTGTGGTGGGCAAGCTTCTCTCATGTCGTTTGGGCTTCCTTGTTACTGTTTGTTTGGCCCCAGTCATCCCTTTCATAGCAACAACTACGGATTGCAGAAGAGTTTTGGTTACATTTTCTGCTTTTGATGAAAATAGGTGCTGTTAAGGCTGTTGCTGTTTCTTTCTTTCTTATATGTTTTCTTGGTGGTGGTTTTTATAGTTTTATATTGTTTTATTTCTATAGGTAATCCAAACAGCTACCTACCTCCTTTCCATTGCAACCAAATTGTTCTAAAATAAAGCTGCCACTTCTTTTTCTTTCTTTTTCTTCCTTTCCCTTCCTTCCCCTTTCTTCCTTCCTCCTCCTTCCTTCCTCCTCTCTTTCTCTCTCTTTCCTTCTTTCCTTCCTACTTTCCATCATTCATTCCGTGTCGTTTTGTTTTACTACATCCCAAGGGATCTATTAACAAGAATCTTGGTTGTGGTGCATTTTTATTCTATGGGATGCCATGAGCGTTCAGAGCTGCAGTGTGACTCAGAATTTCAGTCACTGTGTTCTTAAAACATCAGGACAAAGATAAAGGAGGAGAAACAGCTTTAAATATTGATAGCACAATTATGCATTGCTAATATTGGTCATTATCTCTTAGCTTGAGAGATGGGTTTGTTTCCCTTACTAACAAATGTACATTGGAACAATAGGGGTCAAGGGCTAAATGTCTCTTAAACTGAATCCATCAAAGGATTGGGCTTTTAGAATGAGGCTGAGATCTTCTGTTTCTAAATCAGAATCTATCCTGGCCCCATTTCATGTTCTGTTTCCCGTTTTCCTCCCTGCTCCCCACATTTTGCCCTTCATGAAAGCTCAGAATTTTGTCACCATCTCACATCCTAAAATTAAGCTCTCCCCATTGACACCCCAGCTTAATCCTTGCTCCATCAACTTTCCCTGGTATTCTTCTAGCTGTGAACAAAGCTTAACTCTGAGAGAAGAACAGAATAGTGCAACTGACAATAGTGTAATTTTAATGGACACTGACACAATATAGTAAAGGACAAGCTTTACTTCTGTTTGTAAAAAGTAATACATATAGTTAAATCTCTGTTATCTGTGAAAATTGTGTCTGGAATAACTGAAGGTTAATGGAAATGAGTTATTATGTCTTTTGGATGCAGTGGGCCACTTAAGACATGTCTTTGTGATGGCCAGGTTTCCAGGAGGCTTGTTAGCACATGTAGTAATAGACAGTCTCTGTGGTCCCCTTAGCAGTGAGCTAGCCTGGAGCCAGAGCTAACAGGCTTATACAGACATGGGAATGTGTTGCAACTATTGCCAATAAATTAATAAGATTATCTCTATGCACAGCCACTTGTCTTGAGTGAGGAAGCAGCTTTTCTTATGCTGGATAAACATCACAGGGATAATGGAGAGATGACCAAGTTTGTTTTTTTTTTTTTTTTTTAATTTGTGCAATTGTCTGATACTAATACAGCAGTAGGATCGCTATCAGTATTGTAATTGACCCTTACTCGTAAAAAAATGTGTGTGGAAATCGCTGTTGTACCAAAAGAACAGCACTAGCACTCAGTACCAGAAACAGTGGCCTTAAAATTAAAACACTAAGACAGTACTGGTCACAAGAGGAAGGAGGATGCTCAGCAGGTGGGATGTGTTTTGGCACAGGAGGACCGGGGGTGTGGGGCCACGGTGGCTGGGACTGGGGCTGTGCATCCCAGTCTGGATACCAGTTGGCATAATCTAAAAGTCAGTGAAGAAACAGGTGTTAAGACTCATCAAACTTAGACACAGGAAAGCAATTAAGAACAATTTTATACGTACTTATCAGCTTCTCCCGGTCTGTATTTTCTGGAAAAAGATCAGAAGAGGAAAGAAATGTGAGTATCATTAAGTGGTAGTTCTTAATGTAAAGAGGTAAATCTTTGCTGGTGCCTGGCGGATTGCACTGATGATGCCAGTCAGCGCCTAAAACATCCAGCAAGGGGGAAGCAGGCCAACAAAACCAGGTTCCCAGTTGGTGTGCAGCTCATATTTTTTCTTGAATTGAATGAGAAGCAAAAAAACCCCAGCTGTATCAGGAAGAATTTGTGTCATGGGGAAGAAGGAATATCAAATAACAACAAAATAAGGAATTTATTTCAAATTGTTACACATACCAAATTTAGGTAGTTATTGACAGAGAAATATAACTACTAAATTTATCACAGAAGTACATTTTTGCTGAAGTTTTGACACATCTGCAGGATTCCCTACATGCATGCTATTGAAATTGCTCATTTGGCCTATAGGAGAATATGGTAAAATGGGTTGTAGGATCTAGCACTTCATTTTTAAATGCTCTGTTCCTCCTCTCCCTCCTTCTAGTCTTTGAGATATTTCTAGTTTTCCTGTGATGCATCAGTCTGAGACTTTAAGCTGAGTCTGCCAGGATGTCATGGAAGGAAATAAGAGTACCAAATGCTCAGTAATTTCTACAGCTGAAGCTGTCTAGAGCTGTCTAGTAAAGACCATGCCCATTAAACCTCTGTATAAAATTTGTACTTGATTTAAGACATTGTTGCATGTCCTTTCATCTCAGTTTATTTAAAACATTGACTAATTTGGCAATAGGTTTAATGACATAATGGTCTACAGCTGCAGACTGCTGTGGAAAAACAAGCTCTCCTTGCTGTTTTTTAGAAAACTGTGGAAATTAGAAATATGTGTGCTTTTCAGTATTGTCTTTTTATTGGTTCTGAAGTATAGTTGTCTGGAAAATGTGTTAGGACATGCTAAATAAGCAAGAAAGCAGAAGTTACATTTCTTATTTCTGTTGGGAGAGAAGAGACAGACAGTGAATATTTTTTGGGGCTGAAGTTTTAGATTTTACTTCCTGATCAGACAAAAGGGAGAAAATAGTCTAACTGATACTTCTCTGCATCAGAAACTCTGGCTTCTACTTCTGAGAGCCTTCAACAGCAAAGTGTTGCAATTAATTCCTTCTTATACTATTCTTACCAGGGTTTGGTACTTTTGCTGTGTAGTGGGCTACAGACCCACTATGCACTTACTGGAAATTGACTCATTGTTATATTTCCACTACTAATTATGCCACTTTTATTTCTATGCAATTTTCTTAGTTGATCACTTTGGTCTTACCACAGAGCTTGTCTACACACTTCTCATTACTGCATCCACTGCATGGTTGTCCTGCTTTATATGGTTTCCTTGGGTAATTCCCCCTGCAAAGCAGGATAGTATTTTGTTAGCTGCTATTGTAAAGGTACGGGGGGGGGAGGGGGAGGGAATCCCTTTATCAAAAAACTTGTCATTGCAATTATTTGAAATTCCTTTTAGATCAGATTAAAGCTCTCAGTAGCATGGGGAGCAGTTACCTTGTGACTCTTGCTACTGAAAATTAATGAGACTTCTCTGGCAATACTGTGTTATTCAGTGTAAACATACAAGAATCTGCCTCTAGTCCTTGGATTATAAAAAGCCTGTAAAAGGTGAATCAAAATATTGCAAGGTACAAGATAAACTAGAGGATTGTCTGGTTTTTATTTCCTCAACTAAAATGTGTTGTTTGAAGTTTGGATGGGGCCATACAGAGATATAATCTTCCTCAAGCAGAAAGCTTGCACCTTTACCACTTTTCCTGCAGAGACTGAAATCAAAACAGATTTTATTCTACCATCTGCATTATGGTGAGCACTCTCAGTTATGATCTGCTTTCCTGCTGTTTTAGAAAGGGATTCTGCAGGTCAAGATAAGTCCAGCAGCTTCTATTCTTAACAGCCAGGGGAAGTTTCCCTTAGAGCAGTGACATGAGGGTGTAGCTTATTCTGAAATCTGTTACAACTGCTCCATCCTATATCCTATCTGATATAGGTCAGCTATAGGATATTTATAATCTTTACATATTTATATATAGGATATTTGGAAAAAAAAAAAAAAAACAAATGCAATAATTAACTTACGCTGGGCCATAGTTACAAATGAAGTGTGCTGCTTCGGACACTTGTGAAAAATGTTCAACTGTATTACAGAAGTGAACTGCACAGCCAACTTTGTAACTCTCTGCCCAAACGACCTGCAGGACAAAGACACTTTTTAAAGACTGACAAAGCAACAGCATTAAGTGAGGAAGGAGAAGGGAAGTATGTCACAGAAATATAAAATATCTGACACAGGAGCAACATCAACAACCCAAAGGGCAGTTGAGATAAACGACTGATTGACAGGCATTTTTGCATTTACTGTCTGGCACCCATATAAACATGAAATTGTCAGGGGGTAACCCCTTTCCACCATTAGTGGAAATAGAACTTGGGCTTTGTAATATTTATTTTTATTACAAATATTAATATTTATTACAAACCCTGGGGTTTGGAATGTTTATTTCCAATCTCTTGCAGCAACAAACTGGGGGTGAAAAGCGCTCTGTAATTCCTGTTCCAAAGCAGTCTGTTCCAAGCCTGTATTCAGATTTTCAGTGAAACTATTAGGTTATAAACCATTGGCCACGTAAGGCTCACCTGAGTGTAGTGACCACATATGCCAGTACAACTATTGGTGCTGAAATCATAGCTGCTGCCTTCATTAAACCAGTCACTGAGAGCTGCACCCACAGAGAAGGTGGTGGCTGTGCCAGTCCAGATGTTTTCTCCAACAAGTGGGAAGATGGGGTGAATCTTCCCTGGTATTTCAAGGTTGGTATTGTGTTTAAACTTGCACTTCTTTGCCCATGCTTTGGCAGTCTTAGCTAAAGCAGCATCCCAGGACTGTAGGAAAGGGAGAAAACTTACTATAACCTGTGCTGCAGTGACTTAGCTGAATTCAAACATTTTTAAACAGAAACTTGTAAGGATTCTTTTCCTCTTTTCTGCTTTCCTCTCTGCATTCAGTTTCTTTCTCTGACTTGAAATTCCTACTCCTATAGCAATTTTTTTCTTATTTCTTCCTTAGTTATTGCAGGACACGCAGTATCTATCCACTGTCCTATTGTATCTGACTTGTTAAAATATTTAGAGCTGGAACTGCAGTCCAAAAAAATCTATTAAGAGCTTTTAACTTTCATGGAACACCTTTGATTCAAGAGGTTTCTCTATATTTGTTCTGCTGTTATTCCAGGTGTGCTGGATCTTTGGTCTGAGTAAATAAGTTTGTTCTTTTGCACTAGCTTTTTTAATTAAACATTGTTTTTAAAATGGCAAGACATTTAAACACCAATACTCTGAATTTTACCCCTTTAGTGTGAACTTCCATTCATAGAAATGATTAATATTGAGCACGCGGTTGTACATTAACTTCCTTTCCAGTTATGCAGCACCGCTGGAGGGCTTGGAGAAATGGTATGAACTGACTGGGGTTACCTCCCTCAGCTAGCTATACACCTTTTTCCTTATGTATTCCACTGAACAAGCTGAGACCTACCCATAGTTTATTCTGATACCCATTGTATTTGCAGGAAGCTCTGCTTTCCAGCCCAGGTATTACCCCTGCTACAGCAAATGAAGATCAGATATCTAAATGGATGTCTTGGCAAATCCCTTTATTCAATGCATGTTCTTGATTGGAAGAAAGAACAGAGGATGATAGATTTCCAACCAATCCTGTTCTGCAGATTGCCTACTCTGGAACTTTTTAATACAAAACAGCTTCCCTGTATGAAACCTGACCTGACATAAAACAGACTACTATCTCTCTTACAAAGAGGTAGATAAAGCTGAGCTGAACTGAACACTGTTTTTTGCAATACAGCTCTTTGCTCTGGCTGAAGTTGAGAGTAGCAATTTTTTTTGCTAAACAAGAAATTCCCTTCACATTTTTAAAACTGAACAATACTGTGTCTTTTCTGTTTCCTACAAAAAAAAAAAAAAACAAACTCATGTTGTACAGGAATCATTAACTGAAAGGGAAAGAATAACACAATGCAAATGAAAACTAAGATGGGCTAAATCAGCAGCCCAATCTATAGTAATTTCAAGCAGATCACAAGCACCATCTTACCATGCGAAACATATTGCTGGCTGCTGGATTCACTTTGGATCGAAATGTGTTGTGAGCTCTCACACAGTCTTTAATGAACTTTGCATCCTCTGTGTCAGGCAAGGGATATTGTAGATAAGCATGATAGCAAACGAAGAAATCCAGTAAAAACAATGCTGCAAATAAAAATGCGATTTTCATAATTCTTCAATTTTTTAATAAGTTTTTATATGAAAAATCTCTTAGGTGGAGATGATACCAGCAAACAGTTCTTCAGAAATTGTCCTCTGGGTGTGGAAGCACTTGAAAGTGTCAAAATAACAGGAAGTGAACTGAAATTGCTTCATCAAGTACAGCTCTATCTGACATCATAGCTGGCTGTCAAAGGGTAAAGAATGAAACAGGCACCTGCCACGCACATTAGCATGGAGCAACACTCCAAGTATACTTCTGCCTTTTCTTTGAATGTGCTCCATCCTGGTTGACTGCCAAATTATTCTGTGATTGTAGGTCTTATCTGAGGAGATGCTGCAGAACAGCTTTCTTAAAACCTGCATCAACCATAAAAATTGTATCTTTGACAAAATACAAATCTGCTCTTCAGCTGATTTTAGTATTGCTTAGTCATACCAGCCTAGTTAAAATTATGTTGCAGTACAATGCTTCCACGTCAAAATTACTCAAGGAATAAGCGGAATTAGGAAATCTGCGCTCCAGCAGGAGAAAAACGCAGGTTCCTGAACAGCAGCTTGCTGCAGAACAGACCTTCTGACCTGGTTTGGTGTGTAACAAAAGTAC